GGAGAAGGAAGAAGGAGGAAGAAGAAGAAAAAAAAAAAAAAAAAAAAAAAAACTTCCCCAGATTCGGAGGAAGAAGAAGAAGAAGAAGAAAAAGAAGGAGAAGGAGAAGAAGGGGAAGGAAGAAGGAAGAAGGAAGAAGGAGGAAGAAGAAGAAAGAAGGAAAAAAAAAACGAATCTGGGCAGATTCGGAGGAAGAAGAAGAAAAAGAAGAAGAAGGAATAAGGAGGAAGGAGAAGGAAGCAGGAAAAAAAAATTTCCCCAGATTCGGAGGAAGAAAAAGGAGAAGGAGAAGGAAGAAGAAGGAAGAAGGAGAAGAAGGGGAAGGAAGAAGGAGGAAGGAAGAAGGAGAAGGAGGAAGAAAAAAAAAAGTTTGCAGTCGGGTGGAAGAAGAAGAAGAAAGAAGAAAGAAGAAAGAAGAAGAAGAAAGAGAAAAAAAAAATCCCCAGATTTGGAGGAAGAAAAAGGAGAAGGAGAAGGAGAAGGAAGAAAAAGGAGAAGGAGAAGGAGAAGGAAGAAGAAGGAAGAAGGAGAAGAAGGGGAAGGAAGAAGGAGGAAGGAAGAAGGAGAAGGAGGAAGAAAAAAAAAGTTTGCTGTCGGGTGGAAGAAGAAGAAGAAGAAGAAAGAAGAAAGAAGAAAAAGAAGAAGAAAGAGAGAAAAAAAAAATTCCCCAAATTCGGAGGAAGAAAAAGGAGAAGGAGAAGGAGAAGGAAGAAGAAGGAAGAAGGAGAAGAAGGGGAAGGAAGAAGAAGGAAGGAAAAAGGAGAAGGAGGAAGAAAAAAAAAAGTTTGCAGTCGGGTGGAAGAAGAAGAAGAAGAAGAAGAAGAAAGAAGAAAGAAAGAAAAAAAAAAACGTGTCACAAAAAAAAAACGTGGCTGACACGTAGCGCCACGTCATTGTCCACATGGGCGCCACGTCACAATTAACGGCAAATTTAACAGTTTGACATACGGATGTATGAGACTGTCCCAAAATTTACACTTTAGGTATGACTCTGAGACGAAAAAAACTTGATGTACTAAATGTTGAAAACCATGAAACATGATGGTAGTAAACAGTCTTTTACCCTATTTTTTATTTACAAAAATTTTCATATAACTTCTATTTTTTCCTATAACTTCTATTTCACAAAATTTATTTCATATTTTTTTTAAATTCCATTTTTTTCCTATAACTTTTATTTCACAAAATTTGTTTCATATATTTTGTAAATTCTATTTTTTTTCCTATAACTTCCTAAGTCATTATACAACATTAAATTAAATTAAGTAACATGAAACAACATTAAACAATATGAAACAACATTAAATAATATGAATTTATGTTGTAGTTTTTAAATAATAAATTATGTTTAGCCCTATGACCCTTTGGCCTTCGGTTAGAGATGGTTTTTTGTGAAATGGCTAAAACGAGCCATCTGGCCCTCTGGCCCTTGGTTGGAGACGGAGACAAATATGGTCATGTACTGTTCATTAAAATATTAATATCTTGGAGATGGCGTCTCCAACCGATGGCTGGCCAGATGGCTCATTTTAGCCCTTTGGCCCTCTAAGATTCTCTAATATATTAATATTTTAATAAATAGTACATGACCATATTTGCCTCTGACACACCCTGTCCTGAAGGAGGGCATGCTGGCCGTCACGTGAGTGTGACGTAACCATTTACACAGTTCGGAAGCTTTAAAGATACAATTACTAAGATGAAACACCCGAGGGTGAGTCCTACTTTTGTGAATTCTGTCAGAACACCGTTGGATTCCTCGTGGCCACCAAAGCTCTGCTATCTAGAACCTGGAGGGACGCAAAACAAAGTTGAGTGGGTTAGTAAAACAAAGTTTTTCGAAAACATTTCATTTAAAACATTTATAACCCTTCGCTGTAAAACCTGTATACTTTCCCAGAAAATAATATAATAGCATATACCTTCAAATATCTCAAATCATCAATCTTTATCAAAACCAGAAAGTATGTCATGCTATAATGTCAAAAACAGAATATGGATGCATCAATATAACAGGTGAAATAAGGAATCAACCGGAGACCCTGCAGTTGGTCCTATACGGTTAATTCTATAGCTCAATATCCAATCCAACCGGAGTCACCACGGTGACCTGTACGGCGCTCTGCACATAAGTCAGAACTACCTGAAGTAGTCTGTACGACAAGAATGGTGTAATAATACGCTCTAGTGCTTCTCTCATCAATCATCTATGCACATAATCTAAGGTCACCTACCAGTCGGAACCACCTCTAATGGTCTGTACGACTAGCATGTCGGAACCCTCTATCGGTCTGTACAACATGCACCTACTTGGATCCAAGGTGAGCGTGCGGTGCGGTGAATAATATAAGCACTAACACCAAGGGTGCAGGTTATGAGCTTTCAACACAATTCACATTATCAACAATTCACATGATTAACATAAAACTCACCTGATACTCACCTGTGCGTCCACAGCACCAATTCACATATATATGCATCAATTACTAATTCATATATCTCATAATATGCATGCATGGCATTTTAAAATGTACTTTCATTTAAATTCAATTTCTGGGAAAAATATCAATAGTATATAGGTATAAACAGAAATACTGCCCACTCACCTGGAGTTCGCCCAACAACTCCCTAGCACAACACATCAAGGCGTCATGACGATCGGCGCCTAGAACAAAAATCAAATCCAACATCAGAAATCATATCGATAGAATATATAACTTATATACACGTAACTACGTAATTCGATCCGGAAGATCTGCAACCCAGATTTCCAATCCATAACTTCCAGAGGTCCATAATATACATCTAGGACAACATCCTAAAATTTCATTACCATCCAACGGTCGGATCTCCGTCAATTTCCAAAACCAAGTGACGGTTAACATTCTATTTTATAAACTTACAACTCCAATTCTGAAAGATCCGTAAATCGGATTCCCGATCCGTAAGTTCCTATAATCCTCAAATATTACGTATTACAACGTATCAAAGTTTGGTGACAATCTGACAGTCAGATCGTCAATTCACATTTTCACCTAACCACGAATCGTAACGAACTTAGGTTCAATTACTCAATTTACGTCCATCAATTATCAAAACTGAACCTAGAACCTTAAACACATGCTAAGAATGACATTGGCGGGCCATTGGCCACGCGCCGCCGTACGGGCCGCCGCGGGTGGCGGGTGGCGGTCGGCCGCCCCAGCTCGCTGGAAAATCCAACTATTTCAAAAAATTCTCAAAAATATAGAATTGAAGATCTCAATTAGTAGAGTAAAATTTATACCTGAGGCCAAGGCCAATGTGGCCTGGAAACATTTCAATTTCACCAAAATCCGTGCGGAACCCTAGAATTGGGTGAGTTCCAATTCGTCTTTAAATCAACTCCGTCGTCCCAACCAATGCTTGGGATTTGTTCTAGGCCTCAAGAGGAAGCTATGGGTGGTGGCAATTGGAAGAAATTGCTTCGGGATTGGGTGATTCGAAGCCAAAGCCGCCACACCCCTCCTTGCGGTTTTCTCCATTTTGAAAGCCAAATATCTCAAATTTTGAGATGGAATGGGTAGAGGAAGGCTCCTAGAGTGTTTCCCATGAGGTTTCTTGAAGCAATTCGCCGGAAAAACGGGTGAAAATCGTCGGAAAATAGAGATGGGTGCGTGGGTAAACGGGTTGGGGAAAAACCCGTTTCTGATCTTCTCTCCTCCGCTTCTCGCCCTCTCTCCTTTCCTCCTTTCCTCTGTTCCGATTGGCCATCTTCTCCTTCTCTCTTCTCCTGATTCGTCCCCTCCTTCTTCTTTCAGATTGGGCAGTTTTGCCCAATCCCATTTTTTTTTCCTTTCTTCTTTCTTCCCGACTGCCCAATCCTCATTCTTCTTCTTCTTCTTACGCACACACACCCACAAACCTTCTTCTCTCATCCCAGCCATCCATTTAATTCTTCATTAAATCTGGGCCGTCCATTATCATAAAAAATTTTCCAGATTTTACTAAATTATAATTCCTAAAATGCCCAAATTTCAAACATTAATAAATTATTCGATACAACTCCAAATCACGCACCGTCTGCGCCCACGCGTCCGTAGCGACGAATACTACGAGGATATGTCAAGAAAACAAATCTTAGATGGCACGACACAACGATTAACCTCGAATAATGCGCGTGCCTCAAAGGGCATTTTTGTAAAATCCTTTATTAAAACTTTAAAATTCTTAAAATCAGGGACGGGCTGTCACAGCCTCTGTCTCCAACTGAGGGCCAGAGGGCCAGAGGGCTCGTTTTAGCCCTTTCACAAAAAACTGTCTCCAACTGAGGGCCAAACATAATTTATTATTTAAAAACTACAACTTAATGTTGTTTCATGTTACTTAATTTAATTTAATGTTGTATAATGGCTTAGGAAGTTATAGGAAAAAAAATAGAATTTAAAAAAAAATATGAAACAAATTTTGTGAAATAGAAGTTATAGGAAAAAAATGGAATTTAAAAAAAATAGATGAAACAAATTTTGTGAAATAGAAGTTATAGGAAAAAAATGGAATTTAAAAAAAATAGATGAAACAAATTTTGTGAAATAGAAGTTATAGGAAAAAAAATGGAATTTAAAAAAAAATATATGAAACAAATTTTGTGAAATAGAAGTTATAGGAAAAAAATGGAATTTAAAAAAATATGAAATAAATTTTGTGAAAAAGAAGTTATAGGAAAAAATAGAAGTTATATGAAAAAAAATTTAAATAAAAAATAATAAAAAAACTGTAAAAAAAATTAAAAATAAAAAATCAAATGCAACGGCTACTAGCCGTTGCATTTGAATTTTTTCTTAAGAAATCCGATAATCGACAGTAATACATTTATACTAAATCATAGCATGTATTCCTATTGGTTATAACTGACAAAAATAACAAAACATTAAAAAAAAATGGCCAGCCCCGGGCTGGCTGGCTGGATAGATAACTATCAGCCGGTTCCAAATTAGACCAATTGAATTCTGAAACCCTACTTCTATTACAGAGGTGGTATGGTACAAAAAAATGTGTGGTAAGTAGAGCATTTACGGTCGAACCAAGACAAGTAGCAGTAGGTACCTCACAGAGAGAGAGAGTGGGAGAGAGAGATGGATGGGTTGCCTGCAAGGGGAGTGAGAAAGAGAGAGATCATACCGGACATAGTTGAAGTAATCAACTTAGAAGAAGACAATGCAGCTCAAGGTAAAATTGCTCCCAATTTGAGCATGCATTTCTTTCTGGTTGGGCTCAAAGCTCAAATCTTTTTAGGGTTTACGGGTTAGATTTATTCTGTTAGGGTTTACATGAAAGGCCAGATTGATACATTACATTTGCTGCCTGCAAGTATAATTTCTTGTAAAGAATTTCAGTTTGGATTTTTGCTTTTTTTTGTTTTTATATGATAAAATTTGTAAACATAAACTAGGTGCATTGCTCTGTTTGATTGCTGAATTATATGAGGGATTGTAACTGAAATTTTTGATCTATTTTTTTTGTAATTCATGCTTTGGTTTTAGAAAGGGTGGTGCTATCCACACACCTCTTTTATCTTCCACACAACCCTGTTAATTTCTGTCATTTAGTCATCTTGAATTCATCGGACCGGTGTCTGAAAGTTACTTAAGAAGAATGTGTGGAAGATAAACAGGAGTGTGTGGATAGCACCACCCCTTCGAAAAATGAGTGAAATTTTTAGGCCTTTTTGTGAGATTATGCTTTGTTATCTGAAAAAAGACTGAAACTTTTTGGCTTTATGTAAAGTTAGCTTTGTTTACTTGAAAATGACCTAAACTTCTGGTTTTTTTTTGTAAGATTATGCTTTGTTTTTCTGAGAAAAGACTGAAAATTTTGGGCTTTACGTAATATTATGCTTTGTTATGTTAAAAAGGACTTATATTTCTGGGCTTTTTTCTAAGATTATGCATTGCTTGCTGAAAACGACTGAGAATTTTGGCCTGAATTCGATGCCAGATAAGAAGAAAACATGTAAGAAAGTGGAGGGATCGAATGCGGATCAAGTTGGTTCCTTCACTAAGGCCATCTCCAACTGATGGCTAGCCAGAGAGCTCGTTTTATCCATCTGGTCCTCCAAGATTCTCCAAGATATTAATATTTTAATGAACAATACAGTGTCATATTTGCATTCGTCTCCAACCGAGGGCCAGAGGGCTAGAGGGCTCGTTTTAGCCCTGTCACAAAAAATCGTCCTCAACCGAGAGCCAAAGGGCCATAGGACCAAACATAATTTATTATTTAAAAACTACAACTTAAATGTTTTTAAAAATGTTGTTTAAGTTTCATGTTGTATAATTTTTATGTTGGTTAATGTTATTTAATGTTGTTTCATATTGTTTAATGTTGTTTCATGTTACTTAATTTAATTTAATGTTGTATAATGCCTTAGGAAGTTATAGGAAAAAAAAAATAGAATTTAAAAAAAAAATATGAAACAAATTTTGTGAAATAAATTTTGTGAAATAGAAGTTATAGGAAAAAATAGAAGTTATATGAAAAATTTTGTAAATAAAAAATAATAATAAAAATGTAAAAAAAAAAAAACAAATGCAACGCTACTAGCCGTTGCATTTGAATTTTTTAAGAAATCATGTCGGTTATAACCGATAGAAATAACAAAACATTAAAAAAAAAAAAAAAAAAGCCGGTCAGCCAACCTTCCAGCCCTCTAGCCCTCCCCGATTCCGTGGGGCTCTCCTAGATTCCAGAGCCCTCTGACCTAGCCCTCGGTTGGACGGTTTTCGGGCTATTTTCGACCCTCTGGCCCTCTGAACCCTTCGGTTGGAGGTGGCCTAAAGTGACTCAAAATATTCATGATGTAAGTATTCCTTTTTTTCCTTTATTCCTCTTCATTAATGTGACTTGTTTGATCTGAATATGTTGTCAGGAAAAAATGATGCTCATGCAACTTTATTCCACAACCAGGAGTGAAAAGGTTGTCTTTTTGTCAATCTGATTTGGCTAAATTGTTTTGTTTTTGATGATTTAGTTTGTTTAATTACTTTGTTATATTATCTTCTGAATGTGCTGACAGAATGCCAAGATGCTGCTTAAAATTTTGGGAGACAGCGCGTATCCTTTTCTCTTGTGATCTATTTGGTAATTTTTCTCTTTTGTTTTCGTCTATCATTTCTACCGTTTGGGGTACTTAATTCAGTTGCGAAGTAAATCTCTGAACAACATTGGTGAGTTGGAAAGAATTAGAGAGGAGAACAAGGTGCATGTTAAGGAGGAAAGGGTAAGTTCAACTGACGAAATCACAAATGTGTAGGCTTTCGCTTTTTTATATTCAAACGGAGGATGTAACATGTATTATTCTGTTCATTCATACAGGCTGTTGAGGCCAAGAAGCCAGAGACTCAGAAGAAGGACGTAGAGAGGAAGCCAAGAAGCCAGCCAGAAACTCAGAAGGACGTAGAGAGGAAGAAGAAGCCAGAAGTTGTAAACAAGAATGGAAGAGAGGAAGCCGGCTCCTCCAGACCTGGTAATTAACTTGACATTCCTAACGTTTGAGATTTTGGCATCTTCGTACTACCGTACCAACATTCCTTTTGACATTTGGTAAATGCCTACAGCTTTGCATCCTGCTGCTGATGAAAGAGACCGAGCTGGAGAGGAGGCTCGCAAGAAGACAATTCCCTGCGCTCGCTGTGGTGGCACGAACACAACGTTTCGTTACTTCAATCAAGGGGATCTCAGGAAGGACACACGTAAGTGTCATGATTGTAACAGAGCGTGGGTTGTAGGTGCAAAATTGAGATAATATTAATAGGATTGGGACAGTACGGTAGTACAAAGATGCCAACAAAATCTCAAACGTGAGGAATGTCAAGCTATTGACTGTTAAGGACAAGGTTCGAATTATGTGGTATGGTTGCAGATATGTTTTAGCTGAAACTCCATGCATACGTTCACCATCTAACGGTTAGATATGTTCAAATATGATATAACCAGTCGATGGTGAATGCGTTAAATACATGCATGTACGGTAGCCAAATCCGGATATTTAATTCTATTTATGCATATATGCTATTCTGTAAGCAGTGTAGAACTTTTATAGGCAAAATTGTAAAAATGGGACATAAAAAAGAAGCTTATAGCTTTTAACCTTGCAACAAGGTTCAGGAGAAGGGATTACATATGTAACACATCAAGACCAGGAAAACTTGCTACTGTATAACAGCAGTAATGCAGTAAAAATCATTACAATAATTTCGACAACGCGACAGACTCGATGTTCGTTTATTGAAGTCTTTCCCAGGAACCGATAACTCCTCTACTCCACAACAAAGGTGATTATATGGATGAATTTTACAATTTGGATAGACAATAAACTTGCACAAGATCTTTTTCCCCCTCCCTTCAATATGTTGACGAATCAAAGATCGAATTGATTGCTGAAGCTGCAGCATGTACAGAGGATGCCATCTACACTGTCCACGTGTTGAGACTGAAGAAAACATTAGATGAACACTTCGTATCTTAATGGTGGCACTTCGACCACAAGCTCATCCTTTTAGCTTGCAATATTAGTTCTCCTGCTTCAGCAATGAAAGTACGGCAAACGATACCCAAATAAGATTCGCAAACAACTCAGACTATGCTAGGCGGGTCACCTACCCAATTGCAGACAGCACGGGGCCAGCGTGTTCTTATGCAGTCCACCAGAGGTGCGTGCTGAGCAGGCTCCGGCTTAGCAATTTCTGAGACTTTCCCTCCAGATTCATTACCACTAGAAGCTGAGGTCACTACCACATCTGTCATGTATTCTTCAGGAGTCCACCTTGGAGGTACCGACACCCTCAATTTTGTGAGCCTAGGTCTTTGAACTGGAATCTCGCCTCCCGAGCTTGTCTGGCTTCCATTCAGGTCAGATTTTGCAATTCCATTAAAATGGTAAAGATCAAACACCTTCTTACCCATCAATCCAGTTGAATCCTTCAGGCCTCCTAAGCTCTTGTCCAAATCCAAAATGACCTGCCAGAATTCGCTCCATACAATAAATCCTGTGCTGCAGAGGAGGTCAACCTTCTCAGTTGGAAGTTTTACGTTAGTTTCCCTAAGGACTTGATGAAAGCCTTCTACACTAATAAAACCACCGCCGCCGCTCTGATCTTGTGCATCAAAAGCTTTCCGAATATGTGATTCCCTTCCTTCCAGTTCATTCTCATCTTGGACAGTGGTATCAAGAGAAAAAAGGACTGTATAGTGAGACTCGCTTCCAACTACCCAGATTGGCCATTTTGGACTTTTCAAATACTGACCAACCTTACAGAAATTTAGGGATTCTAACAGAGTGAGGAATCCAACTTCCACAGTTTTCGATATGCCTTTTAAAGACATGCCACCACCCAAATCCATCTTTCCATCGAAAACATTAGGGACTGCCTGCCCGCAGAGCAATAAGTTCACAATTTCCTGTTCCATAACGTACAAGGCAGAACAATGAAATTTTAATGCAAGGTTCATAAAGAGAATAGCAAATGGATCAAGTACTGAAGCACTGGGCCAAAAGTGGAACTCAGTCACATGGATGCATACCTGTGAGGCATGGCCAAACGGAGCAGTGACAAGGGGTAGGCTGGGGTCGTCCCTATCAGATTGAACTAAGTCCTGCAGTAGAGTAAGTTCAATAAATTAGTTTAGTTAACAAAAAAATATCACTGCGTTACTGAATTAAAGTGTACAGTGTTCAAAAGAGCTTTCAAGCTTGAAAAACATACCAGTCCACGAGAAAGTAAAGCAGAAATAAGGAACAGCAGTGCCCCCATACGACTTTGAAAAGCAGGAAGCACTGCTTGGAGCCTCTGAAATGCACTTTCTTGTGTTGTGTATGTGCTAACTCTTAGCACTTTATGCAAATCAGCAGCCGATTCGATTGAAAGACCTTCAAGTGACTTGGTTATTACCTGTCAAGGCAGAAATATAAAGGCTCAAAGTTTAATTCAAACCAAATCCATATGAATATTCTGCGAGTGCATCATACATTATTCTTATCAGGAGAAAAGAAAAAAATAAGTGTATGAATCACTAGCTCCAGTTCACTTACTTCATCATTCAGTCTGTCTTCAGACCTCTCAGTTTCTTCTCCAATAACACTTAAAGTCGCAATCACCGCCCTTTTGTTGCTTCCACATAAGAACAATATCTCACCCATACTTCTAATAAGTACTCTGTCAAAAGGACGAAGTGTTGGTTTCAGCAACATGAATTCCCATGAGTCAACTTAATCAATCATGAAAAATATTATCAAATTACCAACATGAATCAACATAGGGTCAAATAATTTTCATACAGAGAGGATGCAAGAAGATGGTGCTTAGAACTTTCATGCAAATTTTCTTATAATCCTATTTCAAACCGGGTTCAGACACATATCAGGCAGTCGTCTTTTTCTTCCTTTCAGCATGATTTGGAAATATATGGTTTCACTCAAGGTTATGGTTTTTGGCTCGGTTGGTGGTACATGGGAAGGTTAACACCAGCAATTTACTCCAAGGACATGGGCTGGGATTCTTTTTATGCCCAGATTGGTGTATTTATGCAAGAGTTTGGGGGAGAGAGTGGATCATGTTTTCTTATCTTTCCCTTTTAGTTGTAAGTCAGGGTGCTTTTTATTAACCAGATTAAAGTTTATTGGTTGGCGACAAAACTCTTTTGTTTGTTTGCTGAGAAGTTAATTATTGGGTGGTGGAAGGAAGGCTAATCAATATATGGGTTGCTTGGGGTTGGCTATTATTAAGGCTATTTGGTCAGAAAGGAATCAGCGGATCTTTGAAGATGTTGGGGGAATGGAAGTGGAAGAGGTGTGGAAGTAGTTCAAGTTTTGGGCAGCGCTTAGGGCTTCTGGATCTCGTCTTTTGGGTGAGATTCTGTATCTCTTAGTCTTTACGAATACCTCTTTATCCAATACTATTCCAAATAGAAAGAAAAACATATTTGTGCCAATTTCAGAGAAAAGAAAATAATAATCCTAAAAGCAGAAGCCTTGCACATAAAAAGTTAAGGTACAATGTGAAATCGTAAAACAATTTCTGAAGAGCGCAAGGAGATGGTAAATCTTACAAAAGTTTAATATACAAAGGTAAAGTGGTTACAAAAAGTAAGACTTACTAGTCATTAGCCTTGCACATAAAAAAAACTGAAAAACATTTTTGCACATCCTATAAAAATGCTCTGATTTCTCCTTATACTTTATGTAGAAACAAAAGTTAAACAATAGTTTTCCAGTGAAATTAGTGTATATTTACAAAGGAGGGAAAAGTTTGCAATGTGTGCTTACAACTCAATAATGTGCAACAGAAATGAGTTAACCAGAATGGATGTACAGGAAGTGTCTGTGGCTTGTGCTAATTACAATATGAATAACTTAATGCATAAGCATGTTCAACCATCATATAAATTACCATGCAATGATTAATCACCTTGCTTTTGCATCTTCAGTTAGAGAGGCAAAATTATTTGTTGCAACACACTGACTATTAGACGGTGTCCCTGAACCCGTATTTTGATGCATGTTTGGTGCAACTTTACCTAATTCAGCTGGGTAGAAAAGTAGGTATTTGAGAACAAATGCCTGCACAACCAAACAGAAAATACTATTACCAGTCTAAAAGAGAATCATGAAATGCCTGTCAAGTCAATAACATTTTTTAAAAAGCACCAAGAAATATTAAATAATAATACTAATAAATTGAAGAAACATCAATTAAACCTAGGGGGTGGGTAGGGGCAAAGACACATATCTTATTACAATGACAGAAACATGTCTCAAAAACATCACATATTAAAAAAAAAAAAAAATTTCTTCATATGACACAGATATTAGGAAAAAAAAAGGATAAAAGGCTCAATACAATCTTTTTGTTTCCTCCCACCGTAATTTCACTCACATCAATAAAATTGAGGAGTAAAAAAACTTTCTTATGCGAATAGCATGAAAATTGAGTTATATTCCTCAAAATACAAAAGGTGCCATTGATATTGCATGTGCAAAGCAAGAGAATTTTGAGCAACACCACATTATTAAAAGAAACACATAACATATTATGTTGAGAAATCAGGAAGTTACTTGAATGGCTGCTAAAACGCCACAGGGCCCACCTTCATGCTGCACTAGACCCATAGATGTTTCTGGATCAGGGCTAAACCTATAAAAAAAAGTTTTTTATATTAGCCAAACAAGTGAAACAACCACAAATTTATTTTTCAATACCATAATAACAGTAAACAATGGAGATCATATTAAGGGGTGGTTTGGGAGTGAGGTGCTTAAAAAAAAAACACCCATGAAAAAAAGCTGTGAAGGTTTTAGGTGTTTGGTAAACTAAAAAAAAGGGCTTATTTTGGAAGCTGCTGTGAGAATAAGCTGAAATCAAAGGAAAAAGCTGAAGCAGCTATTTGTAGCTTTGGAAAACTGGCTTTTTTTCAAAGCACACGGAGCTACAATGCTCCTTGAATGAAAAGACCCACTATCAGACTGCTTTTTTTTCCAAAAGCACTTTTACAAAAAAGTTTACCAAACACTCTGCTGATTTATTTCACAGCCACTTATTCTCACAGCATAGCCGCTTATTCTCACAGCAGCTTTTTTTCTAAGCACAGCAATACCAAACCAGCCCTAAGGATGTGATGAAATTCAAAGTGAGAAGAGAATTCAGTAAACTTGTTAAACATGGAGGCAAAATTTCTAACCAGGCACAAGTTTCCTCAAGTGATTTAAATATGTCCATAACTGGTGTCTTACAGAAGTGTTTCCGATAACTTATATATTATGGTGGCATAATTGGATGATGCACAAAGAAACCTAAGTTTTGAGCATAGAATCATAAAACTACAACAATACAGAACTGTTGAGTTGATTCAGTAAATTTAAATTGATTGTCTTCTGATGAATAAAGTATAAAGTAAACTAACTGCGGCACATGTGGATTAGTACAAGCATGACCAGATATGAAGGTTTTTATCTCCATAACCTGAAAAAGCTAATAATAGTCCCTTTCTCTGTTTGTTTTTGTTCTTTTCTTCCCATCATCATTCCAAAGACATACTAAAAACAAAGAGGTGGGCCATAGTTTTAGTGAATTGAGTTTTGAAGGTCCAGTATAGAGTTTCTGCTAGCTGGAAAAGAACAACTAGAAGAACAAAAACTTCCATCCATTCAGTGTTAGCTTAAAGGGCCCTTTAAACTTTCAAAGATAAAAATGAAAGACAAATACTCCGGAAATGCATCGCCATGTTTTTGTCAATGTATGTCCCTATTAAATTATCAGCAAAACCATAAAACATTTCATGAAGATGTATTAATATCCTAATTCTTAAGTTCCTATCTCTGTCCGTGTAATGTGAGTCCAACCATACAAATAACTAATGACAGGGCCCAACAACCATACTCTATTTCAAATATGGGTCCAGATATCCAGCTGATTGGATAGAATGCTTACTTTTCTATAGTAAATCTGCCACATCATATCTTTTAAAGCTTTACTAAAAGTCTACAACCATGTTAGCATTTTCATGCTATGTGGGTAAAGATTGCATAAGCATGTGTGCCTCGGGGAAAAGTAACAAATGTGTGAAGGCGACCAAGTTTTTACCATTATACAACAATCATCACAAGCAAGCTTAAGCTTTTTATAAACCTATATATTCCCACCCCATTTGTTATATGTGGAATGGTCTCCAAAGAAAAAGTAAATGAGAGAAACAAGTTCCCTTGATGGATTATGCCGCCAAAAGCAATCAAAGACAACCTAATCCATCAGAATTGGGGATTTCACTTCTTTGCTATCTTTTTCTAAGGGAATGTGTTATCTTCCTCTAAATATACTTTTTTCTTTCTTTTGAGAAGATTGTAGGACAGTTACTAGAAGGTGGAAACTCTGGATCATATGCACCTAGAGTTAAAACCCAGAATATCATGATCTCCACCATCTAAATCACATACTAGAAGGTGACAAAGAAAACTGCCCCGTAACTTCGGGAGAAGGGGTGCCCTTCGCAAAGGGAGTTGCAGTGAACAGGTCCGGTCAACTGTTTACCAAAAAGCACAAGTCTCCGCAAAGTAGTGAGACCATGTATGGGAGTTGATTCCTGCCCAGTGCAGGAAGGTCAAGAAAGGAAGGCTGGAATGCCAAAGGGTGTTCATTATTGAGTCCAATTCACCCAACCCGATAGTACATACCCATTTTGGGAGATAATAAATCCTCTAGGCATTTAGTCTGGATGCAACACAAAGCCAAGAATAAGGAGGCGAAAATTTTGGTCCTTTTGTGTATTTAAGAGTTAGTCCATCTCTTTCCATACTTTCCAACCTGCTTCTCTGATTTGGATGGCTAAAAGAAGGAAAAAGCTTTATGGAGTTAATGTCTGCCAGTTTTTAAGGTAATTTAGAGTGAGCGTAACAAACGGATTTGGGAGAATCACAGTGCACAGAGAGAAGAGGTTTTATGTGATAAAAGTCAGATTTTGGTCTTCACTTTGGGCTTTAATGTCCAGAGCTTTGGGATATTTTGTTTTCTTCTATTTTGGAAGATTCCAAAGTAGCCGTTCATTAAGAGTCAATTAGTGTCTTTAGAATTATGTTAAATAGATTTTATAATAAATACTCTGGCGGTACAACATTCTGTTCTCGTTAATACAGTTTTTATGATAAATTAATAACCTCTAATGGGATGAACCTTTCTTGACAACACAGCTCCCACCCCTATGCCTGATACATCACATTCCACATTTACTCCCTTCTGGCTTTACCTTTAGGGATTCTTACCCTTGATGTTTTGGTTCTTTCTAATCATGACACTTTTCTTGTTTCTTTTGTTTGTGTCCAGCCAGTTGTGTGTGCGTTTTAAAGGCTTATCCGGCCTGATTCCACCTAGTGGCAAATTCAACCAACAGAGAAAGCAACCCTAGCCCTTAGCGCAAGCACTAAGTAAGTAAACTACCTTTGTTCTGCATTATGACACTGATTAAAAGACCCGCTAAAGTCATCAATTTTTTTTTACATAGCTGCTTACTTTTAAGAAAAATATCGCGGCTTACTTGCATATAAAATGCAAATGAAATGTTTTGAACATAGAAAACAAGAACCCTAGTCCAACTCACTACAAAGACAAATCTTTTTCTAATTCCCAGCCCCATCCCAAATGAACCGTTCCACTGGTGCATCAAAATACACAAACTTTACAAGAAAAGCCAGAAACTTCAGCCATGAAAATTAGACCACAGTTACAAAAGGAATGTTATACACACCTTATACCCTGATTACTCCACTGCGCAAGAATGCCCTTGGTAACCTCGGACCCGAAAACCATCGAAAACAGCTGCTTTGCATCCTCTTCGCTCAACCCCTTTCCCAAATTCACTTGCTCCAAACTCAATTCCTTATCCTTCGTCACCACCTTTGGCGCCAAACCCGAACAGGAACCCGCAGACCCGGACAACACCTTGCTAGGTGAAGCCGAAGGCGAAGACTTCTTGGCGACCAGCATTCTCTTCTCAGCTGCAGCAGCCATGAGCTCTCGCTGAAGTCTCCGGGTCTTCACTGCCGACGGCTCCTCAGCCGGAGCTCCGGCGGGTCCGTCCCTGGGTTTGCTACGCTTGGGATCCGGGGGTGAATTCTGCATACTCATCCGCAGTGCCATTCGGAGGTCCTCCTCCTCGTGATTCGCCATTGGAACCCTTTAGATCCAAGGCTCGACAATTAGGGTTCCGATTCCAAATCGCACAACAACTGTTGAGATTTGAGGAAGAAGGAGAGGAGGAATCGGAAATGGAATTCAAAACCCTCGATGGGAGGGTTAAACGTTACAAAAAGCAAGACATGGAAAGAAAGGAATGAAAATTATGAGAGACAACGAATTCCAGACCATTTGCGACGCGAAACGGTGCGTATAAGGTAGCGACAACAACCGTGAGTCCGTAGGAAATTACGATTTAGGTCTTCGTGTTTTGTGTTACGGTTGATAAAATGAGGATATTTTTGTCAATTAGTATTGGCAGATAGGATAAGCGTTACATTAACGTGGCCGGTGATACCTTTCCCTTCATGGGAAGCAAAGCAAAAGCCGTTTCCTGTTGGACGAATCTTTTTCTTTTTCTGTTACAGCTCGTATGCTATGAATCAAGTTGTTAAAATGGTGCTTGAATTTTAAGTCAATTGAAACAATAATTTTTTAATTAAAAATTCATGATTATTGGTCTCTTAATACTTAACTTATCAAAACGTGTAACTATGATTATTTTTATCAATTTAGTTAGAATTCTGTCAAATTGAGTTATATTGGAATGACTATTAATTTGATTAAAGTTGAGGGATCATTATTCAAATCAGATTAAAATTAAGAAATCATTTCTCTAATTAGGTTAAAGTTGAAAAATCATTGCAACATTTTTCTCATTTGATTTTCTGTATTTGCTATTTGATTCAGCTTTACGTGCGTATCCCGCAACTTAATTTGACAAAAGTTTTAACAAAGTTAATAAAAAATACCATAACTACACGTTTTAATTAAGGTTTTTTAGTTAAAATAGTCTCTGATATTTGCATAACACATAACTTTGGTTCCTGAGATTTAAAATCAATAGAAGTGGTCCTGAGATTGTTCATCATCCATTATTTTGGTCATTTAGTTAAAAAAGTCCGTTAAGTTGAGGGTATAACACAGAACTTTGGTCTCTGAAATTTACATAACACATTATTTTGGTTACCGAGATTTGCATAACACTTTGGTCAATGATATTGTCCATCATCTATCATTTTGTTAATTCCATTAAAAATCACAGGACAACTTAACAAAGTTCTTTAATTGAATGACCAAAATAATGGATGGTGGATAATGTTGCAACCACTTCCATTGATTTTAAATCTTAGGGATCAAAATTATGTGTTAGGAAAATATCAAAAACAACTTTAATTAAAAAAATCTTTAATTAATTAAAAATAAACCATTACTTTTATTAAGTTAAAATTGAAAGAGATTGCTGCAATTTCCTTGTGAATCAAAATTCATCATCTTCTCTCTCTGCCTTACCAGTCGCCGAACCCGAAACCGAGAGACCCATTTTACAGCTCCACTTTCTCGGTTCCAACTTTCACTTCCATTTCCTCCCTCGGTTTTGTCTATCTCTTCTGCCCATTGCAGCACTCCAGAGCCGACCTTTCTCTTCGAATTACAAGGTAAAGCTCTTTTTTGCATCCGCTATTGAACTAGACTTGGTATCGTTTCCTTTTTTATGTGTTCTTATGCAGGAAATCTGAGAGCTTTCATGGTTCCTTTCAATGATTTTGATTTTACTTGGTGGGGTTTTAATTATTTTGATTTTCCGCAATTCTTAGATTGCATATTTAATTTGGAAAACATGGAAGATTACAAAGGAATTCTACCAAGTAATAATTAATGAGATTTTATGAATGCTTTGCCTGCTTTTGATGAAGAATCCAATTTGCATTCATGAATTCCATTTTTCTTTCCTGGGCAATGATATTAGTTTGATTGTTAATGGAAACACACATAAAAACTGAATTTAAAAAAAACATGGGTTGGTTAACTCATTCTTTTTTGTTTTTTCCGCTATGTTGGATTCGAAGCATTTTGGTGCTGGGTTTGCATCTACCTGAAGACGTGGATAACCCCAAGCCATGAAAAAGTAAATATGATCCCTTCGTTGTTAATGCAGCTATCGAGTTTGTTTGAACAGGAGATTTTATACCAAACACATACAAAATTTTTCTCTGTTACAAAATAAACACCCATTTGTTTTGTAAATGACTTTGGTTTGTAGGATGGTGGTTTGCTTGTCCTATTTATTTGAACATGAGATTTTATACCAAACCCATACAAAAATTTTCTCGGTTACAAAATAAACACCAACAACAACAACAACAACAACAAAGCCTTTTCCCACTAAGTGGGGTCAGCTATGTGAATCCTAGAACGCCATTACGCTCGGTTTTGTGTCATGTCCTCCGTTACAAAATAAACACCCATACAAAATTTTTCGTTACAATATTTGATGCATTTGTTGCAGTTGCAATTATGTGTTTGTTAAGATTAGGGCTACCCGTCCTGGTATAAACTTTGAACAGTTATGTTTATTTATTCTCTCTCTCACCTATATATCTTTTTATTTACTCTATACGGGGCGGACAAGGAACTTGTTGATCAAAAGAAGTATCTTGAGGCGTCTTGCCAGCCTTAATGTGTGAAGCCTCTGATTGAATAACAGGTGATGTACTTCTGTATAATTTCCTGGGTGGCTGTTGAAAAATTCTATCTGTTACAACGTTGAGTATCAGGAATTGGCATTAGTATGAACTTACAGTTGGATCAGATTATTACTAGCTTACTTCTAAATGGTATTAACTCGTTGGTATTGTGTTCTACATTTGTCTTTTATCCATATCCATGCTTCCTTCTCTTCACGCGATGGAAATTACAACTAGAAAAGCTTCCAGAATGAAGTGTCCTGTCAAAGCTTCAAACTTATATTTGCATTAGTGGAAGCAATTTGTTAATAATTTATCAAAAGTGAAAGTTAGTGATTGTAAGTTGTTAAGTATAGAAGACTAACTTACAAAGAGTAATTGTGCAAAGGTTTTAGCATGAAAAAATAAAGATTAAAGAGTCTGTTCAGACTATGAAGTCCCAATCAAAATCTATAGCACTTGAACCTGTAGACATTTGGACTTGATATGGATATTGAATCTCGCATTTTTGGAACTTATTGCATTGTATGTTGCTCTGTGAACATTGTAATTCCGTCTCCAATACCGCAGTTATGCAGTGAATAGTGATTACCAACATTCCAAAATTCTCTAGCTACTTTAATTATCATGCTAGATTTAATAAACTGCTCTCGTCTGTGCTTACAAAGAGTAGATGACTAGGCAGTTGTTTCTATTGAGCATCAGTTATTGCTCAACCTTAGAAATTGTGTGGATAAAAATGTCTTGATAAAGTCTTGATTTCTAACCTTAGAATAAGAATATTGAATTTACATTCGACATAAACTGAGGATCTGCATAAGCTGCAATATCTTTTCATGTCCGTGTTTGAATCTCTTTTTTTTTTTTTTTAACAGATTAAATAAAATAAAATATAACTTTATAAGATCATCTCCAACTTTTGAGTTAAAATTTAAGGAAAACTAATGAAAGGGCTTCAAAACTTTAAGTTTTAACCAAAAATCATCTACTAACTTTATTTAATGATAAGGACAAGAGAAAGAAAAAAAAAAAAAAAAACGTAACAAAAGTTTGGTGCAGCTCTTACTTAGCCCATTATATCTTGTTAGGCAATGAACAAGGGCCCGTTTCTTTAGACAAGCAAGAGCTCTTTTTGTTTTCGTGGAAGGTTTTGAGGCAATGATCACTGATCGGCGAGTCGGAAGTTGAGAAATGGAGAAAGCATTGAAAATCTACGCGGAAGTTGTGAGATTGGTGAGGAGGTTGCCAAAGGACTCTCAATCGTACTATGCTAAGTACGCCCGTGAGAACTTCGTCAATTACAGAGAGGTCGAGGCCAACGACGACCAAGCCCTCCACGAGCTCTTCCTCAGGGCCTACAATCACTCCCTTTGGGTCCTCAACAAGGTACACAAATTTGTCATTTTTTTTGTTTGTTTTTGTTTCTGTGTTTTCGACGCTTTCGTGTGAGTTTCTGGTGAACCCAATTGGGGTTTCTTGCGATTGCAGTGCTTAGTGGACAAATCTGCGGCCGAGAAGTTGAAGAAAATCTGCTCCACTTAGCGCGCTTGCCAAGTGTTCGATGTAATGCCCAAAAGATTACGAAGATATCCAGGCTGCAAAATGTGACTAAAGTTATAATAATGGAAAAACTTGTATTAATTGGGTCATCATCTGTGCCAATATATGTGAAATACTTTTGTAAAGTTTTCACAAACCTAATGCCAACATTGATAAAGGGAAGAAATAGAGATTTCTTCAGAGTTCAAATTGATTTTGCATTTAAAATGTAAGAGAAAAAGGAATGTGTGTATAGCCGTAGTGGTTGACAACACAACAGAACATCCACCATCGAAAAGGTGAGGCCCTTGAGGGCTTCGATGGTGTCATCTTCTCCATTGGGCATGAATTCGCCACAGCCATCTGTAGCAGTCCTTCCTATGGCTGTTGCATGATTCTTAAGGCACTCTTTGTAGTAAGTTTTCATAAACAGTGTCGTAAGTTTCATAAACAGTGTCGTAAGTTTTCATAAATAGTGTAGTAAGTTTCATAAACAGTGTCTTAAGTTTCATAAACAGTGTCCTAAGTTTCATAAACAGTGTAGTAAGTTTAATAAACAATATAGTAAGTTTAATAAACAGTGTAGTAAGTTTAATAAACAGTGTAGTAAGTTTCATAAACAGTGTACCGTGAGTCTACACGTAAGATTTTTTGTCATTTTTATTAAAACTATGTCTATTTCATTAAAATTTAAGTTCTTTTGTCCTTTTTATTAAAATTTAAGGGTTTTTATTAAAATTTAACTCTTTTTAATTAAATAAAATTATAGCATGATTTTTTTATTAAAATAAACTTAATCCAAGTTCTTTTCATGGAAGTTCCCTAAAATTTAACATTTTAAATGAAAAAATTTAGGTTTTAATCCAAAAACACATTTTAAAAAGAATTTTTTACTTACTTTAGCCGTTTGATTTAAATTTGGACCATTAGATCTTTTTTTACTATTAAATTTTATTATGTTAGATTTTAATTATTGGTTTCAATGAATTTATAAATATAAAATTTAAAAAGTACACATATAGTGGGTACTAACTTAGGGAGAATCCTAACTTAAATTTTCCTCAAAAATTCCTATTTATGTTGGAACAAGTCAAAACCTTAAAATTTGAGTTTTACTCAAATAATTAAAGTAGGTCTAAATAAAAAAGTTCAGAGCCGAATTCAGTATTCTCTTGAAAGTTTTTGGACCGATGCCCAAGGTGGTGGAAAATAATAAAAAAAAAAGGCCCACTAGAGCTTTTCCAATTTTCTTAGGAATAAGGATTGTATGCCCTTCACTTTCGGTATCCTTCTTGTGCTTTTTTATTTGTGTAATCACGGTTAAGTCATGTTAATATTTTATATTACTATTTATTTTTGTCTTATTATATTTATAAAAAAATATAAAATATTGACGTGACTAAACCACCGTAACCATACAAAATAAGAAGGCGGAAGGGCACTGGAAGCGGAGGGTCCTTGTCCTTTTCTTATAAACCCTGACAGACTATCCGTTCCGAACCCTAGAACTTTTAAGAGACAAATACGCTTTTGTTTTTCTCGGCCCCCAAGAAAACTGTCTCACTCTCTCTCTCTCTCTCTCTCTCTCTCTCTCGATTGTAATCAATTCGAACCCGATCGTTGTCCTCCGCAATCCGTCGATTCTGTTGCTTCCACTCCTCCTCGCCGCCCCAAGTAAGCTCTATCCCTCTCTCTCTACACACACATATATATGCGTGTGTATTTTGTTTTGTGTTGGTTTAGGATCAGATTATTGCGGTACTGCTTTATGGTTGTAAAATCTGGATCTATTTCTTTACATTTCGAAACAAACAATAGCTAAATAGTAAATATATATGTTTGTGTGTGTGTTTGTCGAAGCCTCGATGGGTCGGAAGAAGCCGACTGCTCGCGACGATGAGAACCCGCAACCTACTGCGGGTGCAAAGTCGAAGAAGAAGGCTGTGGTAATTGAAGACGATGAGTATTCAATGGTCAGATTGTGCATATTTTTTTTTCCTGGGCAATGCTATTAGTTTGATTATTAATGGGAGGCACACACAAAAAATGGATTTACAAAAACATGGTCCGGTTAATTCATTCACTTTCAGACCATGAAGAAGTAGATATGATCCTTTGTTCTTTTTCACTTTCAGACATTATGTTACTGAAGGGGTGTGGGTTATGGGTGTTTTTAGATTCGAACTTTACTTAAGGGATCAAGTCTTACATAGACTATGAAGTCCCAATTAAAATCTATAGCACTTGAACCTGTTGACATTTAGACTTGCAGTGGATATTGAATCTCACATTTTGGAACTTATTGCACTCTATGTTGCTCTGTGAACGTTGTAATTCCGTCTCCAATACCACTGTTATGCAGTGAATACGTGGATTTGTAATCAGCAGAATGATTGCCAACATCCCGAAATTCTCTTGCTACTGTAACTATTATGCTAGATTTAATAAATTGCTCATTGTGCTGGATTTGGGAAACTGCTCTAGTCTGTGCTTACAAAGAGTAGATGACTAGGTAGTTGTTTCTATTGAGGATCAGTTATTGCTCAACCTTAGAAATTACGTGGATAAAAATGTCTTCCTAACGTCTTGATTTCTAACCTTAGAATAAGAAGATTGAATTTACATTCGATATAAACTGAGAATCTGCATAAGCTGCTATATCTTTCATCCACTAGTGACTAAACCTGTACAGGAAGGGACTGCAGAACTGTTTCAGTTTGTGATGGTGCATATGAATTAGCTAGACTAAGAATAGGGATTTACCGGAGGATATTTCGTTTTTTTTTTTTGGGGGGGGGGGGGGGTTTAGAATCAAACCTACTCAAGAAATCAAGTGTTACATAGACTATGAAGTCCCAATAAAAATATAGCACTTGAATCTGTTGACATTTGGATTTGTTCCAAGTAATTATTGCGCTTTATGTAGCTTTACAAGCATTTTAGTTTCATTTCTATTACCACAATTATACAATGAAAACCTCAACTTTTGTTGCTTAAGACATAAAATGATTGCTGATTTTGGTTGATTAGTCTTTGTTTGTAGGTAGAGGTCGCACTTGGTGTGATGGCAAGTGCCTTCGCCCATGAGCGGTACGTCTCGGGTTCGAGACTTGGGAGCAGCCTCTCCATAAATGGGGGTAAGGCTAGCCGACATTCACCTCTCCCAGACCCTGCTTAAAGCGGGAGCCTTGTGCACTGGGTACGACCTTTTAGTCTTTGTTTGTAGGTCTTTTTAATCTTCATTTACTCCATTTATCTCCTTTATACCTTTTGTATGTTCGTGTTCTGTCATTGTAACTTTCCAATTTGTGTTCTGCATAAATTTGTTTTCCTAACACTTGTATTAATTTAGTACCTTTTTTCTTTTAGTTTTCATTTTGAAGATATTGAGGATACATAAAGAAGAGAAATATGGCTGCTACAGTGCATCAAAACCCAAGACTTGTTCAAAACTTTGCTCGGAATTTTTCTCTATGGTCAATGAAGAAGGACCCATATCTTGAATCTGCTCTGTCAAAAAATCGCCGATGGATAGTGAATAATCAAATAAAAAACATCATCCTTAGGTGTCCTGATCAGGTAGCAACAGTGACATTCATTCAGAAGAAGTTCAAGACCCTTGATCTTCAAGGAAAGGCTCTCAATTGGCTCAAAAAATACCCATGTTGCTTTCAAGTCTATTTGCAAGGCGATGAGTATTACTGCCAGCTAACTAAACGGATGATTTCTTTGGTAGAAGAAGAAGAATCTGTCAAAGATATGCAGGAACCTGTGTTTGTAGAGAGATTAGCAAAGTTGCTTATGATGAGCTCCAATCAAAGACTAAATGTTGTTAAGCTTAATGTACTGAGGCGGAACTTTGGTTTCCCAGATGACTATTTAATTAGACTTGTGCCAAAGTATTCTGATGTGTTTCGGATTGTTAATTATAGCGGGCGGCGGAGTTCCATGGAGATTGAGCTGGTGTCTTGGAATCCAGATTTGGCAGTTTCTGCTATAGAAGCTTCGGCTCACAAGCAAGGAACTGAGCCATGTTTCACATGCTCATTGCCTTCAACTTGGAGCAAGTCATGGGAAAGATTCCATGAATTTAATGCGACTCCTTATATATCACCTTACTTGGGCTCCACAGGCTTTGTGGAGGGATCAAAGGAGATGGAGAAGAGGACAGTGGCTTTGGTACATGAGTTGTTGTCATTGACTCTATGGAAGAAATCATCCATTATGAAGCTGGCACATTTTCGGAGGGAGTTCAGTTTGCCCGAGAAATTGAATGTTTTGCTGCTTAAGCACCCCGGCATATTCTATGTCTCAAATAAGTACCAGAACTATACTGTCCTTCTTAGAGAAGCTTATAATGGGCAAGAACTGGTTGATAAGGATCCACTTGTTGTTGTGAAGGAGAAATTTGGGGAACTTATGCAGGAGGGGCTTCATGAATATAACCGTAGGCGTCATTTGGTAAATCTAGAAGAAGAAGAAGAGAGGGCATGGTTTTGGGTAGATCAAATGAAGGCAAGGACGTGAGCTCTGAGATGTCTGACCCCGAGGATCAGGGAGACACAGGAGGGTTGTTTGATCCAGAAGAACGAAAGCGATTCTATAAAGTTCTCTTTGATGACGGTGCCCCATGACAATATCATTCGGCAAGGAAGGAATGAAACTTATCCAACCGCTTGGCAAAGAGGAGGAATCAATATCACCAGAAGATGATGTAGAAAACAAGCAAGCCCACTGAGGCCGGACTCCCAGTCCCCACTGCCTCACGTCAGCAATGGCCATCACCGTCTGTTCATCTGGTTGATATTGTATATAGCCACTGTTTTACAATCCTTCTCCTCATTGGAGACTGCAATCAGATGCAATATCGAATAGTCATGGCGGTGCTTTCTATGTTCCCTGCATTGTGGGTTTGCAATTCGGCTTGGTCTTATAAATGTTGTAATATAACAAGTCCTGCTTTATTGTGCTGGCCTTGTGATCTGCAGAAGTTAGGAGTAAGCTCAAGCTGGCTGAGAAAAAAAGTCGAGCAGATGTTGGAGAAATTTTTTCAATATTCAAGCTGGTACTCCCTGTGTGACCGCAGGTTAGTTGAACTTTGCTTACTGTATGTCGATCTTTTGACCTTATTTCTGTGATTGCTTGATTCATTAGTTTAATTGGTGGTTTCAGGGGATGTCCCAAAGCATACCATCCTTCATGTGTTAATTGTGATGAGGCCTTCTTTCGAGCCAAGGGTCGATGGAATTGTAGTAAGTTGCTGCGGCTTATCCTTAATTTTCTTTTCCTTTTCACAAAGTTTTATTGTTTTATTTAATTCTGATGTAGTACGTTAAGGGCCAGTAGACTCTTAATGCACAATGTACTTGGTTGTACAATGTATATTCAGGATTTTCTAGTATGCTCCAGGGCATTCTATACACTGGGATTTGATGACCGAGATCTAACGGCCAACAATCCCAATGTATTGGATACCCCTAAGTATAGTAGGATTTCGTGTATATTCATAGTGGACATTCATCACGAAGTTTAAGTGCATTTTGAACAAACATCCATTCAGCACTTACACCTCATTAAACGATTCATCTAGTGGAATAGGCCTTTAAACTAAGACCCTTGTAATCTTGAGGAGACTTCAGTTTTCTGATCAGTTCCTAGATTTGCCTTTGAGAATTTAGGTTTATCTCCTAGCTTCCGCTAAATTGAATTCTCTTTATTTTTATTTATTCCATGTCTTCGTATGTTTGTTTCTTTGGTGATCATTTATGTGTTTAGCGTGCGGTTTCTGTGCTTCAAACTCTAGCTGCATTAGTGCTTCCTTGGTGCAGTGATGATTGAGTTAGTGTTTTTATGTTGTAAAATTATATTTATGTCTTTGTTTTTGTTTTTGATATTTGGTTTAAATTATATGAAAATGATATTTTATTAGTTGCTGGCAAGGTCTAAAATACTGTATATTTTATTAGTAGCCGACCCCACTTAGTGGGAAAAGGCTTTGTTGTTGTTGTTGTTGTAATTGAATTTTTTTGCATACTTTCAGTATCCTGAAGTATTGGACAGTTTGTGTCTAGTTAGAGTTGATTTGGAGCTGCATGGTTGTAATTATCGACCCGGAATATAATTATTCGGATGAGTATTGGTTAATTGTCCTTGAACAGTTTGTGTGCTTTGAAGATATTAGTTAGTCTCCAAGTGATTATGCATTTGTTTGGAATTATGACTACAAGTACCTGCAAGATTTAGTTCTTTGTTTACTTTACAGTTTTAAAAATTTGAAATTGTTTACAAATGTACTCTTTAGTTGTCGAGATATGGTTATTACCAAGAGGAGGGCATTGCTTTTTCTGCAGAGAGGGATCAGTTTTTTGATCCTTGGTTTAGATTTTCTTTTATAATGACAAAGGGAGAAACAATTGCTGATGTAATGACCTATGACCGACAGCTAGTTAGGGAATTGACGGACATTGTGTTGCGACCTATTACCAAGAGAGTTACAGCTGCTTGTCTAAGGTAATGTTATAATATAGAATGGGGACTTAAAGCAGGTCGAATAAAATCAAGCTTTGGGAAGAAATATATCAGGCATAAGATCAAGCCCTTCTCTGCCAAATTTTGATTTTCGTACCTGTTCTGTATCGTGTACAGTTATGTTAATGTTAAAAGTAACATAACAAGTACCAAATACCTTGGCAAACCATGTTTTAGGCAACATTTTATCAACTTTTTTTTTTTTTTTTTTTTTCCCCTGTTTTTGGAAGAATATTAAGGGTCCATGAAAGGTATTCAGCATTTACCTCAGTTCAGACTTCAGACTCTAGCTTTAACCTGGAAGTTATGTGTTTGTCCGCTTCAATTTTTATTATTCATGTACTTTTAGTGAATCTAGTAGCCAGTGTCTCTTTTGAGAGAGATTGCAGGCATTATGGCTGTATTTTGAACTCTTCATCTCATAAGTACCGGTTCTTTTGCATGTGTCACTGGGTTTCATCACTTAACGATGTTAACATCATTATAAAAATGCTTATTTGAAAATTATTTTAGTTATTTTGGTTGCTGGGGAGTATCTGATGTATTAATAAATGTATTTTAGGTTGGCACCTTTGTAGCAACTGTGAAAAGAGTGCACACTACATGTGTTATACATGTACCTTTTTCCTTGTGCAAGGCGTGTATCAAAGATGCTGTTATCTTATGTGTTCGAGGAAACAAAGGCTTCTGTGAGACATGCATGAAAACTATCATGATGATTGAAAAGAATGAGCAAGGAAACAAGGACAAGGTATGATGCCTTCTTTCTTCTGTTAATCCCTAATCACTTTTGTATTTTCCTTTTGCTAGCATTGTCACGATTAGGGTCAAGGGATATATCTTTCTTGGGAGTGTTTTAGTATGTGAAAGTAGTGTGTCGTGAAGTTCATTTTTGCTACATCCTAATTAAATCAGTCCGCCAAAAGGGAAAAAAGAAACAACAAAGCGTATACATTTGGAGGTATCGTAAGCCTCTGTATGTAATGAGGTTAGTGACTTCCCTTTCTTCTAATCGAAGGTGAACTGGTAACCAGCAGTATCTTGGTTTCCCTGGTGGCTTTTTCCTAGGGTTGTTGATATCTGGGATTTTGTCTTTATATGCTCCTTCCTTTGTTCTCATCTTTTTTTGTTTGAGTTCCCTTCTGGCGGACCGTAGTTCACTCGATGAACAATGTATCCAGTCAGTGCATATTGAGTTGCTTGAGTTTGTACAAGTCATATATCTGGAATTATACGTTGAATTATGTCAATAAATTTAAGGGAAGCTAGTTTGATTGAGTATTTTTGTTTTGTAATATTTATTTTTTGAGGAAAACTAATGAAAAGGGTTTGAAAACTTTGAGTTTTAATGATAAAGACAAAATAAAGGGTACAGTGAATATGGTATCAGGTTTGACATTTTAGTGTAAAATGTGGTTTTTTGTTAAAGTGAACAGTACCGTGGGTTTTTCGTTAAAACTCCTTTTTTTTTTTGTTTGTAAGAAATCTTTTATATAATATGTTGGAAAATATGGCTTCAAGAATAAAGTGTCTGGTTATAATTTTGTGCAAAAACGAACAAAAAAGAAAAGAAGATTAGATGTAATGTGGCTGAAAGCTCATGTGAAATGGTCGAGGTGTTGAAATGATTTTATTAAAATCTTGTCCTTAACTATGTACTGTTTTCACTTCACACGTTTAAACTGCTTGCAGTGGCATTCATTTTATTCTTTTTGTTTTCTTGTGCTTGTGCAGGATGAAGTGGATTTTGATGATAAAAGCAGCTGGGAGTACCTCTTCAAGGATTATTGGATAGACTTAAAAGAGAAGTTATCTCAGTTTGATGTCCAGGCTCTCTTGCTGGAATATATAAAAAGGAACAAACTTCGTGACCCTCGGCGAAAAAGTCAGATAGTTTGTGATACAAGGCTTCAAAATTTATTTGGGAATCACTTTCTTGTAAAAGAAGATGCTCACGCTGATGATCTTCAAGGGAGTGTTGTTGATACCGATGACAATCAGTTGGAGGTTGATGGCAACTCTGATACCCCAGCACAGGCCAGTAAAGATAAGAGACCTCATTCTAATATGGACGACTTTGCAGCCATTGAAAATATATCATTTTCTTCATTTGTATAAAGACACGTGTCATAAATTCAATCGAAGACCGGTAGTTGAAAAAATTTCTGTAGATGATGGGTCTATCGAGCAACTTGGGAAGGCCTGGTCTTCCTTTACCGCCAAGTTTTTCAGACTTAATCTGTTACACTTGTTAAGTAACCAATTACTAGGAGCTGCAAATCAGTAATTCATTGACAATGTGAAATTAGCTTGTGAAACTTGCAGTACTTGGACTAGAACCAAACAACCAACCACCCAGTTTGGTCCCACTATTGTATGTGTGGTTTTTACACGTCCTAAAAATGAGTTCCGCATTTCCCACATCATCAATTTCATGGAGATGGAAGATATAAATTGATACGATTTTAAACCCTTGAGGTGCTGTGTGAATTTTTTTAAAACTCTGTCACCTGTTTTGATAATAACGCTTAAACGTGAAATGCATATGAAATGTAAACCTGAAAGGAAAAAAATTTAAAAGAACTAAAATTAGCAGTTGATCACTTAGTACTACGCAACCGCAACAACAAAATTTTATCTCCTAATTGAGGCCGGTTGTATGAATCCTAGAACATTAATACGTTCAGTTTTTCAACAAATCTTCCTTTAGCTCCAAATATTCCATGTATTTTCTTAGTTTTTTTTTTTTTTCATGTCTTCCTAGTTCTTCCTCTAATCCTTTTGCCTTGAACCTCTTTTCTTATAATCGCATTTCTTAACCAAATCATCTATAAGTCTTTAGTTCACTACGGTATAATAATATTTCTCGTCACTTGTACGTAAGAGGACTAGTTTAACTCTGTGAATAAAAGAATTCTTAAATTTAATTCTTGTGAATTGTAAATTTATAACTAAATTATTATGGCTGACACCCGTTTCTTGTATTAAAATTAGCGGTAGACCCAAGCCCAAAAAGGAGAAGGGTGGAGTGGGCCAAGGTTAAATAGTTGGCAAGTCTTGAGCGGCTCCCCACAATCTCAGTTAGTGTGGTTCCCAAATTCCAAATTCCAACTTCCATTTCATCTCTCGGTTGTTTGTTTCTCTCTCTTCTGTTGTGGGATTTGAATTACAGCCATTGCACAACTCCGGAGCCGACCTTCCTCCTCGAATCACAAGGTATAATTTCTTCTTCTCGGCCCCCAATTAATTAAATTTGTAAAACACAACTAATTTCATTGATTGTTGTTTTTTTTGTAAATTTAATTTATTTGTTTTGTTTGATTGTTTTTGTGCAGGAAATCTGAGAGCTTTTTCGGTTCTTCTCAATGTGAGTATTTCTGGGTTTTTAATAATTTTGATATCCCATAAATGTTAGATTTGCAAATTTTAAAAATTTATAAAAATAAAATGGAAGATTTTTGTACTGTGATTAAGAAATCACAAACCCAAAGGGATTCCTTGGTCATTTTAATTAGTAATAATTAATAATATTGGATAGTTGATTACTGTATGCTTTCTTTTGATGAAGTATTCAATGGTCAGATTGTGTATTGTGGGTTGGTTGGCACCTATAAAGCATGGATATACGGTACGACATGACACGGTGATACATAAAATCTCTAAAAACTAGAATACGATACGTCAGGGATACCCGTTCAAAAGGCATCTGTGTTACAAAATAAATACCCGTTTGTTTAGTAAATGACTATGGTTTGTAGTTGTAGAATGGTTGTTTACTTGTCCATTTCATATGTAACGTTCATTAACAATATTTGCTCAGGCATTGTTGTAGTTGCAAGAATGTGTTTGTTATTTTTTTTGGTCGGAACAAGAATGTGCTGGTTAAGGTTATCTGTCGTCGTGTAAACTTTAAACAGTTATGTTTATTTATCTATCTTTTTGTTTACTCTATAAGGGCGGACGATGAACTTGTTGATCAAAAGAAGTATCTTGAGGAGTCTTGCCAGCCTAAATGTGTGAAGCCTCTGATTGAATATCAGGTAATTTACTGGTGTTATTCAAAAAATCTGTGTGTTGCAACTTCTAGTACCAGGAATTGGCTTTCGTATGAACTTAAAGTTGGATCTGATTATTTATTAAAATTACTAGCTTACTTTTAGATTCCTTATTTTGCTTCCCAAGATAGTCATATCTACTTGTTTGTATTATGTTGTACTTGTACCGTTGGCTTTTACCTGTACGGGCTTTTTCTCTTTACTGATGGGGATTACAAACTAGAAAGGCTTCAAATATATGTTCGCATGTGGTCTGATAAGTTAGAAATGCGTAAGTGTTCTAAGTTTTTCCATTTGTGGAAGCAATTGGAGATGATATATAAATATCAAATTTAAAGTTAGTAATTGGAAGTCGTTATATGTATATCAGGCTAACATTATAAAGAGTAGTTGTGCAAAGGTTATAGCATGAAAGAAGACTATCAGATGATCAAGATTCGAATTGTCGTAAATAAGTGATTAAGCAAGCCCTTTTGACATATTTTAATAGGGGTTCATTGTGAGATGATGTGTGAATTGCAAAAAGAGGGAGACAAGCTAGATATATCATATGCAATAGAGATTGAAATTTATCTTCAATGAAAGGATATTTCTTTTAGAAATAAAAATAAAAGATAGAGAATTCACTTTACAACGTACGTACACTGAGGATCTTCATAAGCTGCTATCTCTTCTCGTCCACTAATGAGTAAGCCTGTCCAGGAAGGTACTGCAAAACTGTTTCATTTTCCGATAATGCATATGAATTATGAAATTAGTTCGAGTGAGAAAAGGGAAAAAGTATAGAACATATACTTACTGAAGGATTTTTGTTATTCCTGAAGGGGTGTGGGTTATGGGTGTTTTTATAATTCGAACTTTACTCAAGGGATTAAGTCTTACTAGACGGTGAAGCCCCAATCAAAATCTATATCACTTGAACCTGTTGACATTCGGATTTACTGTGGAAATTGAATCTTACAATTTTGGAACTCATTGCGCTGTATGTAGCTCTATGAACATTGCAAACTTCTTGCCACAGTTATGCAGTGAAGGCGTGGATTTATAATCAGCAGAATGACTGCTAGCATTGGAAAATCTCTAGCAACTTTAACTATCCTGCATCAGTTATTGCTCAACCTTAGAAATTATGTGGATAAAAATGTCTTGCTAATGCTTTGATGTCTACCTGTTATTCACCCTTTTCCCTCCTTCCATGATTAAGTGCTTTCTACTCTGTGTGTCGTCAATAATTTTGAGTGACAAGATTAAGTTGTTGAACTTTTTCTTCCATTTGTGTTTCCTTCTTCAAAAATAAAAAAGGAAATGGGATGCCATGATAATCGGAGGTCTTCATTTTGATATACTTCAGCGGGTAGGGGGTTTTCACATATTGTTTTGAATGGACTAAAATTTGGTAATTGTACTGAAATTATTTGAACCTTTTTATTTGTTGTAGGCATGTGTTAAGAGGGTTGAAGGTGACGACACTGGAAACAAGCATTGCACAGGGCAGTACTTTGACTACATATCTTGTGTTGACAAATGTGTAAGTCTCATTTCATTTCATTATACTGTAGGAAAATTTTGTTCTCGCTCAGATGATGATAATTGCCTTCTGCAATGCAGGTTGCGCCAAAGTTATTTCAAAAGCTCAAATAACGGAGTCACAGTTCTACGGTCTCCCCATCCTTTAATTGTTACTCTTTTACATTGGATATGAATTTTTAAACCGCGCTATGATGTTTGCCGGTCTTTGTTTCCAGCAACATGATTCAAATCTTGTCGAGAGGTCTTGAATAAAAAGAAGATTTTGTGAGTTGGTTAATATGGCATGCTGTTTTTGGATTTCATATAGCTAATAAGGTGATTTTTGCTAGTTTAAGTTTAATAGCAGGGGCCTCTTGTCATCCTGCTATCGACGTTTGCCATTCTACTACAATTATTGATTGATGGGAGAAGCGGTATCAGTCGTGGGTGGAGAGAAACTTTTGGATGTCCTTGCAGTATGTGATGTATGTCCTTGCAATATTTTGCTTCATCGCCTATACATTCAGCTTCCTTTTTCGAACAAAATTCCTAGTGCTGCCTTGGATGGAGAGAAACTTAAGTGCAACCGAGTGTATTGTACAAACAATAGAAATGCATGGGTTGCTTTTCATGGCCAAGGCGGCGCCGAAACTCTTTGGTGTCGACAGTAGTGCAGGGTTTCCGTGGTGACTGATAATAATTCTTCTTGGCGTGATGATCAATCGATGGCTTGTTCTTTCTTGATATGTATATGACTTATGCTTGGTGGATGAGTTGAAGGATCTGGGCAGCGGGCAGGCATGGGGAGAGGAAAGGGATGAAGGTGTGCGATGGTTGAATGTTTTAATCATGTTCGAGGTTTTTTTGTTCAAGTTTTAATAATATGTTTTTTCCGATAAAAAAAAACATTCATGTCCGAGTTTGAATCTCTTTTTTTTGTGTTTTGGTTTTTTGTTTTTGTGTTTTTTGTTTTACAGATTAAATTAAATTAAATATAGTTTTGTTACACCAACTCCAACCTTTGATTAAAATCTAAAATTTTAGTCCAAAAAATTTAAGTTTAATTTAGAAACAATTTTTTTCTTTCAACCTTTTTAGGTTAAATTTGTAGTTTGAGATTATTAAATAATAATTTTAAGATAATTTTTTCTCTTAAAGTAACCTTTTTTCAAAAAATAAAAATAAAAATATGTAGATTATAATCTAATTTTATAAATATTTTAACCTAAACATATTTAGATTTTGATAAATATTAAAAAATTAATACACGGACACCATGAAGTTCGTGGGACACTAGAAAAGAATATAAAACACATAAAAGAAATTTTTTTTACTTACTTTAGTTGTTTGATTTAAATTTGGACCATTATATCTTTTTTTAACTATTGGATTTGATCATATTTGATCATAATCATTGAATTCAATGAATTTATAAATATAAAACTAAAAAAATACACATATATAGTAAGCCAGTCCTACTAACTCAACGGAAATCTTAGCCTCAATTTGCCCAAAAATGAGTTTTGAAATAAAACTCCTATTTACGTTGAAACAAGTTTAAAACCTAAAATTTAAGTTTTTACTCCAAAAATCGGGTAGGTTTAAATAAAAAAAGCTAAAAGCCGAATTCAGTATTTTCTTGAATGTTTTTGGACGGATGCCCAAAGTGCTGGAAAATTAAAAAAAAAAAGCCCACTACAGCTTTTCCAATTTTCTTAGAAACCCAGACAGACTACCAGTACTCAACCCTAGAACTTTTAAGAGAGAAATCCGCTTATTTTTCTCGGTCTCTCTCTCTCCCCCGGAAACTCTCTCAGTCTCTCAGTCTCTCTCTTTGTGTCTCTCTCGATTGCAATCCATTCGAACCCGATCGTTTTCCTCCGCAATCCGTCGATTCTGTTGCTTCTACTCCCTCCACGCCGCCCCAAGTAAGCTCTCTCCCTCTCTCCCTCTCTACACACACACACACACACACACATATGCGTGTGTATTTTGTTTCGTGTTGGTTTAGGATGAGATTCTTGCAGTACTGCTTTATGGTTGTAAAATCTGGATCTATTTCTTTAGATTTCGAAACATACAATAGCTAAATATATATATGTTTGTGTATATGTGTGTGATGTGTGTTTGTATAATCTGTATTGATTGTGATCTTGGTTTTGCGATTAGGATTTTGGAATGGGCTTCGATAATTGTTGAAACAGATCATAATTTGTCGAAACCTCGATGGGTCGGAAGAAGCCGACTGCTCGCGACGATGAGAACCCGCAACCTGCTGCGGGTGCAAAGTCGAAGAAGAAGGCTGTGGTAATTGAAGACGATGAGTTTTCTATTGGAACTGAGCTGTCCGAGGAGTCTCAGGTGCAGGAAGAAAAAGTTGCTGTCACTGGAAAGAAGGGCAAAAAGGGTAATTCAAAAGCTTCAAAGAAGAGCAGGGATGAGGACGACCTCGACGATGTGGGAAAGGGGGACGAGGGCGAAGATGAGGTTCCCCAAGTTGCTTTCACTGGAAAGAAGAAGGGAAAGTCGAAGAAGAGTGGTGGGAATAGTGTGGTCAGCGCTTCGAGTTTTGGGCTGCTTGGAGATGAAGAAGACGGTGTTGATGATGGGAAATCTGGGTTAACTGGTAATGATGAGGAGGATTCTCCAGTGGTGAGTTTTTCTGGCAAGAAGAAGGCTTCGACATCGTCAAAGAAAACTGGTGGTAGTTTGTTTACTGGGTCCCCTTTTGATGCTATTGGTGATGAAGGTGATAGTGATGGTGAGGTTGTTGATGGTTCTGTGGGTAAGAGTAAAGAATATGACGATAGTGAGAATGAAGATGAGCCTGTAATTTCTTTTACGGGGAAGAAGAAGCCATCCAAGGGTGGAAAGAAGGGCAGGAGTGTGTTTGCAGCAGCTAGCTTTGATGTTCTCAATGATGCAGATGAGGATAAGGATGAAAAGAAAGATGAGGACGATGAAGTTCTTCAGATTACATTCTCCGGTAAGAAAAAGAAATCATCAAAGGGTTCAAAGAAGAGCGGTGGTAATTCTTTTAGCTCAGCCCTGCTTGATGAGGGGAATGATGAAGATACTTCAGTATCCGAACCAACTAGAGTTGGTGATGACACAGTTGATGATGAAGATGAATCTGTGATTGCGTTCACAGGTAAAAAGAAGTCTTCCAAAAAGAAAGGTAATGATGTTTTTACTGTATTGAGTGAAGATACAGATGTAATTGAACCGGAACAACCAAGTGTCGAAACTAATAAAAATGAAGCTGATGATTCTAAAACTAACAAGAGTAAAGAGGTTCCAGAAACTTCAAAAAGTAAGAAAAAGAAGAAGAAGAGTGGACGGACTGCTCAAGAAGAAGATGACTTGGATAAAATTCTTGCTGAGCTAGGTGAGGGTCCTACAACATTGACACCAGCTGAGGCTACCATGAAAGAGGAGAAAGTTGAGGTTCAACCTGATCCGGTTGCCCCAGTTGATGCTTCTGGTGAAAAGGAAGGTGAAGAAGAGACTGTGGAGTCTGCTGCTGCAAAGAAGAAGAGAAAGAAGAAGGAGAAGGAAAAGGAGAAAAAGTCAGCAGCGGCAGCAGGGACTGCTACTGCTCCCATGGTTCCTAAGGATGATAAACGAGAAGAAACCCAAATTGAACCCACAGACCCCAAGAAGAAAGAAGTGAAAGGTAAAGTAGCAGATAAGAAACTTCCAAAACATGTGAGGGAGATGCAAGAGGCTCTTGCTAGGCGACAGGAACAAGAAGAGAGATTGAAAAGGGAAGCAGAGGAGAAACAGAGGAAAGAAGAAGAGGAGCGGCGTAAGCAGGAAGAACTTGAGAGGGAAAAGGAGGCGGCCAGGATTCTGAAAAAGGAAAGGGAAAAGGAGAAGCTACAAAGGAAGAGACAGGAAGGCAAGATTTTAACTGCGAAGCAAAAAGAAGAACAACGCAGGCGGGAGGCAATGAGAAACCAGATACTTGCTAATGCAGGGGGTTTACCTCTCCTTACCACAGACAATGAGAAAAAGGCTAAACGGCCTATGTACCAGAAAAAGAAGACAAAAGCAGCACCCATTCATGCAAATGGTGCAGCTTCTGCGAAGCCAGTGGAAAACCTAGAAGAGGGAGACCAGCAGGACACTATCCCCGAGCCAGAGTCTGGGGAATTTGACAAGGTTGAAGATGTAGAGTCACTGGATCTGGAGGATAAATCTGAAGTTGCTGAATCTGTTAAAGAGAATGGAGTGGAAGAAGAAGAAGAAGAAGATGATGATGATGATGATCCTTGGGATGTTAAGAGCTTTGATGATGTTAACCTTTCTGTTAAACGTGGATTTTCTGATGAAGAGATTGACTCTGAGCCTGAACCTGTTGCAAAAAAAGACATAAAGAGTTCAGGTGCCAATCCATCAGTTTCTGCTCAGAAAACTGTTCCTTCTCAACCAATAAAATCTCAGGATGGTGAGGATAAGAAAAAACAACCTGATAATGACGTTGACAAAAGTAAGAAGAAAAGCGTTTCTGTTAAAAAAGAAGCGCCAACTTCTAATGCTGACCCCAAAGAGAGTGGAGATAACCTTCGTTCACCTATTTGCTGCATTATGGGCCATGTTGATACTGGTAAAACTAAGCTGCTGGATTGTATCAGAGGCACAAATGTTCAGGAAGGTGAGGCTGGAGGTATTACTCAGCAGATTGGAGCAACATATTTTCCTGCTGAGAACATTCGTGAGAGGACTAAAGAACTGAAAGCTGATGCGAAGCTGAAGGTCCCTGGTCTGTTGGTCATTGATACCCCCGGGCACGAGTCATTCACTAATTTACGGTCACGGGGCTCAGGTTTATGTGATATTGCTATATTGGTTGTTGACATTATGCATGGCTTAGAGCCTCAGACAATAGAGTCACTTAACCTTTTGAAAATGAGGAATACGGAATTTATTGTTGCACTAAATAAGGTGAGGTTTATGGTCAATTCTACTGTCCAGATCTCTACTACTCTCGGCTCATAAATGTTTAATTTTTGTTTTCTGGAATATCCAATTGTTAGGTGGACAGACTCTACGGGTGGAAAACCTGCCGCAATGCACCAATTGTGAAAGCAATGAAGCAACAATCTAAGGATGTACAAAATGAATTCAATATGAGGCTTGTACAGGTCTTGTGTGCTGCAACTTTGTCTTTTGTTCACTTTATATGTTTGACCCTTTGTGTTTCTAAAATTCCAATTGTTTGTTGGTTTGCCAGATTATCACTCAATTCAAGGAGCAGGGTTTAAATACTGAATTGTATTATAAGAATAAAGAAATGGGGGAAACCTACAGTATTA